AATGAAAGAAGCAACACAAAAAAAAATCCAAGCATTTGAACTATGGTGTTACCGTAAAATGCTCAGAATATCCTACATGAGCCATACGACAAATGCGGAAGTCTTGCGGAGGATGAATAAGGAAAGATAGCTTATGCTTATAATAAAATAACGGAAAACACAATATTTTGGTCACATCATAAGAAATCAAAAGTATGAACTGCTCCAACTTATAATCGAAGGCAAAGTCAATATCAAAAGAGGACCAGGAAGAAGACGCAACTCTTGGCAAAAACCTACGGCAATGGATGAACATGACCTCCATAGCACTATTCAGGGCTGCTACAAATAAGATTAAATGGGCAAATGTAATGGCCAACGTCCTTAAGGATAAGGCACCGTAAGAAGAAGAAGATGGGACACATACTTCCCACTATTGTCAGTACGTAACCTAGATATTTTAGTTTTAAATTGGGCATTTACCACTGCTTCATATTCCATAAACTTCTCCAATACTTGTTTTCTTTCATTAGATACACATATGAAAAGTGAGAAAAATGATCAATAAAGGATAAAAAAAGTACCTGCATCCATCATATGATGCTGAAGAACATGGTCCAGCCACGTCAGATGATACAACTTCTAAAACTGCTTTGACCTTTTTTTCAGTTGATATCCTTAAAAGATTTTCTTGTTTTTTTTTTTGGCTTAATACATATCTGACACAAATTACTTGGAGGATATAGTAAAGAATGACCCTTTCTTCTGTGTAATATACTATCTGAAATGGCAACATTACACTTATCATCTACTACAGTAAAAGTAATTATATATAAGTTTCGTCTTAAAATGCCACGCTTGATTAAATTAGAATATGGTATACCTGTCCTTTTTTATTTTCAAATATAATTTTTAAACCTGCCTGTTCCATTTTCTTTGCACTTAGCAGATTATATTCCAATTCATTGTACTCTAAAATATCTTTTAGATTGATTTTAACACCAACATTACTTAAAACATGTAAATGGCCACTCTTTTCTGCATTCCCCATAAACCTCAACAAGCTCCTTTCTTTTGTCACACAAAACTGTATTAGGATGTGGCGATTCAAATTCATTTAGTTCAATAATGAATGAAATTTCTTCTTCAACCTGATTTGGACCAACACTTGCACTATTAACAGACCGACGTTCCATGCCCTCATTTCTTTTATGTTAAATTTTACCGCACTTGTAACATTTAAATCGAATATTGCCCTGTCCTTGTCCCACTATTGGATATTGTCTATTTGACTGTCGTCCATCATTCCATCGTCCTTCTCTACTATGATTTCCAGGACTATGTGTGACCTGTTAGGAATTCTGTTGACATCCATAGTGATATCGATTCTTATTAACAAAGAAAACTGCTGTGGATTCTTCATTATTTTTATTAGAATTTCCTTGACAAGATTTTTCCTGCAAGAGGTTATTTTTCACCATATTAAAATCAATTGAATTGGATCTTGACTGAAAATAATATCATTTGCTGTGACTGTTGCTTGAAATGACTCGGGCATAGCAGCTCTCTCTCTTCAATCCTGACCCCCCAGGGGGAGTGTAGTGGTCGACGTGATGTCGTGTATTGTCCGTCTCCAGAGATCTCTGTCTCTGGTCATTTCTTTTAATTCATGCATAGGTCTTTGGCATATTCCTGTAATTTGATCTATCCATCTTGTTGGGGATCTTCCTCGTGATCTTCGGCCTTCTACCTTTCCTTGTATTATGAGTCTTTCCATGTTTTCTGTGTTTGCTCTCATAACATGCCCAAAATATTTTAATTGTTGGAGATGGACTTTACTAGAGAGTCGTTGGCTAACTTTTAGCTCTCTTAAAATTGAATTATTTGTTCTACGGTCAGTCCAAGGAATTCTCCAACAGAACATTTCAGTGGTGTCTAAAAGAGATAGTTCTATAATTGTCGCATTTATGGAAGCTGCCTTTTTTATGTATGGTCGTTATTGTAGATTTTGTCCAGTCTTCAGGCCATTGTTTGGAATGCCATATTTGGTTACAGAGTAGATGAAGTAACTTTACGCCGGTTTCTTCTGTGGCTTTAAGCATGTCTGCTGTTATCATATCTGGACTTGGTGCTTTGTTATATTTGAGCTTGTTGATAGCCTGTCTTACTTCATTTTCGAGTACATCAGGTTCTTCTTCCACCTCGTCAGAGATTTGGCTAATAAGCTCTTGGCGTTGATCATCTTTATATAGGTCCCCGCAATACGATCTCCATGTCTCTGCTATGTCTTCTCTGTTCTCAGGGTTCCAGTGTTATCTTCAATGGACCAAGTTCTAGCTTGAAGTCTCTTGTCAGGTAGAGTATTTTTCTAAATAGATTTCTCGGCTGATTATTCTGACAATGTCTCTCAATTTCTTTGCATATACTTTGATAGTACTGTTTTTTTTTCGGCCTTACATCTTCGTTTTATTTCTTTATTGAGGTTTCTTAAACTAGCTTTTTTCCTTTCACTATGTACACCACTTTTACAAAGATTTCTTCTATTCTCAATTATTTTAAGAGTTTCATCTGTTATCCAGTGTTTCCGTTTCAACCGGATTATTTTTCTTTGAGCGATCCATTGGTGTTGTTACGCAATGTTTAACAGTCTCCCATATTTCTTGTGATGTTCCGTTACGAATAGAGGGCATACTTTTCTGTACTTCCTGTAGAAGTATAGCAGCTAAACGATTGTGAAACAATTTCGGGTTCTTCTGTCACTGTGTTTTCAAAAATCATTATAAAATCTGTTAATTTCCCACTAGTATACTTCATATTTCTTAATTTACGTTGCATTTCAACTTTTGCAAATATGTGTCTTTTAAATAGTTGAACATATCTCTGGCTGTCTTTTTATCTTTTACGATCTGTATTACATTATTCGCTAAACATTGCACTATAAGATTCCTTGCTCTAGCATCATTCTTTTTTAAGGTGTCATCAATTATGTCATTTTATAAAATTTCCAGCTAATTAATTCCATGCGAAACTTCCAATTTGAAAAACCTGTACTATCAAATTGTTTAAAATTGGCTAGCTGTAGATTGACCGCCATTGCTCCCTTTGTTTGGATCACGTTCACGTTTCCAGAGTTCCAAAATTCCAAGATCTAAATTTCCTGTTTACCCTTCGAATCACAAACTATTCCATGACTCTCATATAACTGGGCCCATAACCTGAAGTGATTACTAGATTCGAAGCAGTAAAACAAACAATATTTCACTCTTGATAGCCAATGGCCATTACAATACAATAACGAACAACATCAAGTGAACTACACTGACTTATTCTGTAGTTACATTCTGACATGACATTATGTCAATTTTAAAATCAAGCGGAAATTGTGGTCTATCTATCTAATCTATCTAATTAGCCTTCTTCGGTCGATCTTTGGACATAGGCCTCCCCAATCCTTTTCCATTCTTCTCTGTCTGTCGCTACAATTATCCATCTGTAGCCCGCGTGCTTCTTGATATCATCTGCCCATCTCATTTGGGGCCTTCCTCTGCTTCGTTTATATTCCCACGGTCTCCAACTTATAAGAATTTTGTTCCATCGGTCTTCTTTTTGTCTTATATTGTGTCCGGCAAATCTCCATTTCAATTTTGCAACTTCTTGTCTAACATGCACTTTTGTTTTCTCTCTTATCCAACTCGTTTCTCTTCTTATCCATTAGTCTTATGTGCAACATTTGTCTTTCCATTGCTCTTTGGGTTTTTATGATTTTGTCCATGTTTACTTTTGTAGATGTCCACGTTTGGGAACCATAAGTAAGAACAGGGAGTACGCATTGATTATATACTTTGGTCTTAAGATGCTGTGGATATCTTTTGTTTTTAAGAATGTAGCTTAGTTTGCCAAATGCCGCCCATGCCAGTCTAACTCGTCCCTTGATCTCTGCTGTTTGGTTCTCTTTGTTAAGTTTTATAGTTTGACCAAGATATATATAATCCTTAACTTGTTCTATTTCATCTTGTCCGATTCTCATTGTGATGTCTTCATCTGTATTTGTTATAGTTTTGGTCTTGCTGTAATTCATATTAAGGCCTATCTTTCCAGCTTCTACGTCCAGTTCTTTCATCATTTCAAATAATTTTTCTTTTTTATCGGTTATCAATACGATGTCATCAGCGTACCTTAGATGGTTCAAGCGTTGTCCATAAATTTTATATACCTTTTTTTCCCATTCTAATCTTTTAAAAGTATCTTCAAGAGCCTGATTGAAAAGTTTCGGTGATATTGTATCACCCTGTCTCACGCCTCTACTTATTTGTAATGATTTTGTTCCTTCATATACTTTAATTGTTGTTTTGGCTTTCTCGTATATATTGTTTATTAGTTCCGTATATCTGTGGTCAATTCGGCTGTTAATCAAAGAACTTTTCACTGCCCAATGTTTTACACTATCGAAAGCCTTTTCGAAATCTATGAACGCCATATATAGAGGAGTGTGTATTCATTTGGTCGTTCTATAAGTATTTTCATACTTAGTAAATGGTACTTGTGCTGAATCCCTTTCTAAAACCAGCTTGTTCTTTCGACTGGTATCCATCGAATTTTGTCGTCAATCTATTGGTTAAAATTGTTGTTAGGAGTTTATACATTACATTGAGGAGTGTTATAGGACGGTAGTTTTTTATATCTGCTTTATCCCCTTTCTTGTGTAGGATAAATTGTGGTATTTTACCATAATTCTCATCTGGGTTTTTTGGATATTGTGGTAGGTTGGGATTCTGAAATTGTGGTATTTTAACATAATTCTTATCTGGGTTTTTTGGATATTTTTCTTTTGTCCTTATTTCTTGCCGTGGTAGTCTTCATAATATTAATTTGGTTCCGAGGCTTCACATTATTTTTTTGAGCAATATTCGTTTTTACGATTGCTAGGTTGCCAACCTTTCCAATCCTCCCCCACGTTTTGTCTGGGCTTAGGAACGGCTGTGGAAGAGAGAATAGGAGAAGAAAAAACACATAAAAAATAAACAGCTATTGATTTTTTTTCTACAAAATTTATGTATTTATAATTTTGGATTTCAAGCTGAAATATATACAATAATTAAATAACAAATGATATTTGTTGATAATCACGCTGACTTATCTGCGTTACACTCATTTTCCCAAGTATCTTTATCAACGGTTATATTTATCAATACCTTTTTGTAGAAATCGTACCTACAAGCACTTACACAATTTCCGATTTTTACTCCTACGACAGACTCGGTTTTAAAGCCGTCTTTAAAATATATATTCAAGTATGGTTCCCCGGCCGAACTTCTATATAGCTCCCAAATAATCGTAGAACAAAATTGAGGAGGCTTGTAGTTGTAATCTCCAAAGGTATTTAAAATAGACGCAATCGTACCGTCGTGCGCAGAAAGCATCAAAAATTTAGGATTTGTACCATTTAAGATTCCGTCAAAATAATCGTTAAGATAATTAAAAAACGGTCCTACTTTGAAGCGTTGCAAGCTGGGCGTAAACGTTTCTGTACTGAATGAAAGTCCTGCCAATTCAGCGAGCTCTTCTTGGTTTATTTCATTGGCCCAATCTGGGAGGTACGAAGAATTAGTTTCGTTATAGATATAAAGCACAGTCCAAAGATTTCGAAATAGATCCAAAGTGGTGTTCCAGCCAGTTTTGCTATCAACAAATTCTTTAAGCTGCGTATGGTTCTTCATTACATTCTTAAAGTACTCAGAGTCTACGGTCTCTTTGTACAGCTTGTCAAAATTCTTGCATTCCTTTTTCATAGCGAGCACAGAATCGTCTGAGTATGACACCGTGTGGATAGGTACCGGGTTCCAAGGTAAATCTTGAGGCCATTCAACAGGATCGGGGCTGTCCTCAGGGTAATACAAGCCAGCCAAGTTAGACGCTGCAGAATTGAGGGTTCTATCTACATCTGTAGAGCGAACAAATAGTTCTGTAGGGTAATACCGAGTAGATAGGAAGTTCTTGTAACGGCGTCGAAGCCATTGTCCCAATTGAAATTGATGAATTTTTCCTTTCTGTAACAATATAAAATATGTTATTAAAACCAGAAAAAATAAATTGAAAAGCTTGACAAAAATCAAAATTTTCTTCTCCGTAACAGTAGCAGTCAATTGTTAATGCTTTTGCCAATTTTTTTAACAGCGTCCATAATCCCCCTTTTTCCTTCCTTGACGAAAGGCATAGAAAGGCATCACTAACAGCTATATACACTTCTTAACTATTAAAAATTGTGACATTTTAGCACATTTAGTGTCTTGTGCTTTGTACTTGTCAATAAAGGTCCAGGTCCAGATGCGATATCCAGATAAGTTGTGTTTAGGGAATTGTGCATCTCTTTATGTAGACCTCTGTGTCTTATTTTAATAAATTTTTGATCAAGGGTCATTTTCCATCACAATCTAAGAGAGCCTTTGTTAAGCCTATACACAAATATGGTGAACACCAGACGAGGTAAGGTCGTCCACTTTTTAAAAGTAATCATTACTTTTTTTGATTGAAATGTCTCGTCACAATCATTTTACTAATGAAGAAATGCGAGATATGATTTGCGTAGTATACGCACAAGAAAATTTTTGCGGTCGCTCGGCAGCCAGAAGGTATGGAATGTTATACGCAAACAGAAGGCAACCAAATCACAAAACTTTTGCAAGATTATATCGTAGTTTAGGTGAAACTGGGTCATTTCACACTAAAAATCGGGGTGGTCGACTGAAACAAATCACACCTAATCAAGAAGATGAACTTTGGTTCGAGTAGATGAAAATCCTGAAATAAGTTCACGACATCTATCAGCAGCAACAGGAGTAAGTCAGTCGTCTATTGGTAGAATTCTAAAAAAAGAGTACCTCCATCCTTATCACTTCACTCCTGTTCAAAATTTACTTCCAACAGATCTTCCACGACGGTTACAGTTTTGCCAACGTATTCTGAATAAACATCGCAATGACAGACACTTTATTAAAAATATTATGTTCACCGACGAAGCAACTTTTATCAGACGAGAGGTTTTTAATTGGCGAAATAGTCATTATTGGGAAGAAGAAAACCCGCATGCTATTAAAGCTAGACATTTTCAGCATGAGTTTAAATTGAATATTTGGTGTGGCATTATTGTAGACATATTGGTGTGACATGTGGCGATTCTTATTTATTCTTTTTGGAAAATACTCTTAGTGATATTTTAGATGATCTGTCACTAGATGTAAGAAGAAAAATGTGGTTTATGCAGGATGGAGCACCACCTCATTTTTCATTAGCTGTTAGAAATCATCTTCATGACGTATTTCCTCAATTCAGCATGAGTTTAAATTGAATATTTGGTGTGGCATTAATTGTAGACATATTGGTGTGACATGTGGCGATTCTTATATTATTCTTTTTGGAAAATACTCTTAGTGATATTTTAGATGATCTGTCACTGGATGTAAGAAAAAAAATGTGGTTTATGCAGGATGGAGCGCCACCTCATTTTTCATTAGCTGTTAGAAATCATCTTCATGACGTATTTCCTCAACTATGGATTGGCAGAGGCAGTGATTTTCAATGGCCACCAAGAAGTCCTGAGTACAACCCGCTAGATTTTTATTTTTGAGGACATATGAAGTCCTTAGTTTATGCCAATGAAATTAATACACCAGACAAACTTTGGAGATACATTCAAAATGCAGCTAATCTTATAAGGGGACAGAATAATATTTTTTTATAAAAAGAATTAGAAAAGGCATAGAAATCGGAGGAGACCATGTAGAATATTTAGTTTGAGTTTTTGTGACTTCTTCTAAGTTAAAGTGTGTTTAGTTTTGATTTATCGTCAAAACGGAAACCTTACGTTAGCTGCAACTTTGTATATTAGTTTGGTATTTGATAGTGGAATTATAAATAAAATACCATTTTTTTGGCTAAGATTATGCCTCTGTGCCAATTTTGATAGCAATTTATAAATATACAGGGAAACTATTAGCAAAAAACGAAAAAACAAAAATTAACTTTAACACCCTGTATGTTTTTTCTCAGCAACATTTTATTAAGGCATATTTGGCCCAATAGCCATCTTCTTCTTCATGTACCATGTCCTTTCAGAACGTGGTTACCATCATAATAGCCATATTGTGGTCTAAATAACCTGTCCTTGGTCTATGTCCCAATAGTTATGACTCACCCTGTATACATTAAATACATTTAATAACCAAATTTTTTAATGTATGTTTTGTCAAGTCCAGTGTACAATTTTTTTGTGTTTTCTCAATGGAAAATTTTTAATAGAACCAGCTTAAAAAAATATTTTCTGTACTTGAGCAAAATTTAATATAAGAACTGTGCTTAATATCTGCCTTTTATTTGGCTTCTTCTTCATCGTGCGACTAGGATTACTCCTGTGTGTCTGCCTCTTATTCTGTTTTAGTCGTTGTTGACTGTACATTATCTTTTCACCTTTTTGGCGGCCTTCCAACGGATCTTCTGCTAATACGGCTTGTTGTTTTTACAGATGTTCGCTAATCTATCTGGTCCCATTCGGTTTACATGTTCCTTCCAGTTTTTTTTTATTGTTTTTATCCACCTGTTAATATTTTGAATTTTGCATTGTTCGCGTATATTTCTGTTGGTTTGTCTATCTCTTAATGATATGCGCGCTATTGATCTTAATACTTTCATTTCGATATTGTTGATTTGTTGTTTCGTCTTTGATCGGTTCTTGTCTCCGCTGCGTATGTTAGGATTGGTCATACTGTTGTCTTGTCTTGTATACTTTCATTTTGATTTCCGTGGTCAGATATTTGTTTCTCCATATGGTTTCTCGGAGGCAACCACTTACACTTGCCGCTTTTGATGCTTGTCTTGTGGTCTCTGTTCTTATATCCCTGTTGCTAGTAATCTCTACTCCTAGGGTAATTGAATTTCATTACTTGTTCTACAATTTTGCCGTGTATTTCTAGTTTGACTTTTATTAGTAAGGTTCATATATTCGAGCATTCAACCATATATTATTTTAATTAGATGTATGTTAAATGATTATTGTACTGTACTATGACACGTATAGAATCAAGAATTGGTATGTATTACTCAGGTTTCGGTTTCAGTTTACGCTCCCACTGCTGATAAGACCGAAGATGAAATCGAAAACTTTTATTTAGAATTGCACAATACAATCAAGTTGTACAAAATCTAGAGATATTACTTACATTTTAGGAGATATTAATGCAAAAATTGGAGTAGGTACAGTTGAAAATATAGTTGGACAGTTCGGACTAGGAACTAGAAACGAGAGAGGAGAAAGGCTCATAGAATTCTGCCAAGAAAAGAATATGGTAATTGCCAATACTTGGTTTCAGCTTCCTAAAAGAAGATTATATACATGGACGTCTCCTTCACATACAGAAAACCACATTGTCAGAAACCAGATAGACTTTATACTCGTAAATAGCAGATATAAAAACTCTATAACCTTAGTTAAAACTTATCCTGGAGCAGATGTTAACTCAGACCACAATCCGCTAGTGGCTGACGTGAAAATAAAATTAAAAAGAATTGAACTCAGAAAACAACAACCAAAAATTAACGTAAGAATGCTACAAAACGAAGAAATAAAAAACGAAATAAAAAATAATGTGAATGTTAATATGCAAAAAACGCTAACTGACAACAAACAAATTATGGATGTAAATAAAAAGTGGTGTAATATAAAAAACACATTACTGAAACCAGCTCAAGAAAGTTTAATAGAACATAAATCAGAGGCTAAAAAACACTGGATGGCAGAAGAAATACTATTACTGATGGAAGAAAGAAGGAAATATAAAGGAAAAGATCTACAGAAGTATAAAGAAATACAACGAATAATTAAGAAAAAAATCAAAACAGCTAAGGAAATCTATTTGATGAAGCAATGTAAAGAGATAGAAGAACTAGAAACAAAATATGATATGAGAAATATGCACAAAAAAATTAGAGAAGTGACTGGAATGGGTCGAAATAGACAGCAAGGACACATAAAAGACAAAAAAGGAGTACTACTAGTAGATTTACCAGAGAAGTTAAGGCGATGGGAGGAGTACGTTAGAGAACTTTTCCAAGATGAAAGAGGTGAAATGCAGAAAATACAAGAATTAAATCCTTTAGAGATACAGAAGATCACGATAGATGAAATCAAATATGCTATCAAAAACTCTAAAGACAATAAGGCAGCTGGATTAGATGAAATACCAGTAGAACTCTTAAAACTAGTGGAAGAGGACAACTTGGAAGTATTGGCAGATTTATTCAACACGGTGTACGATACGGGAATAATACCACAGGAGTGGCTAAAGTCAGCATTTATAACCATCCCTAAAAAACAAGCAGCAAAAGAGTGCTCTGATTATCGAACACTGAGCATCATGAGTCATACTTTAAAAGTTCTGCTAAAAATAATACATAAGAGAATATACGAAAGGCTAGAGGAGGATATTAGCGAGACGCAGTTCGGTTCCGAAATGGAATGGGTACTCGAGAAGGACTATTTGCCATCAACATATTAATTCAGCGATGTCGGGATGTGAAATGTTGATCTACACTTGTGCTTCGTTGACTACGAAAAAGCTTTCGATAAAGTAAGACATGAAAAACTAATATCAATACTTATGAACAAGCGCATTGACAGTAAAATCATAAATATAGTGCAAACATTATATTGGAACCAAAGTGCCATAGTTCAAATTGATGGGCAACACTCAGAAGAAATGAGGATCTGTAGAGGAGTTAGACAGGGATGTGTGTTATCACCACTTTTGTTTAACTTATATTCTGAAGAAATTTTCCAAAACACGCTCAATAATATCGAAGCGGGAGTCACCGTTAACGGAAAATTAATTAATAATTTAAGATATGCAGACGACACTGTGATCATAGCAACGAGTATAGAGGATCTACAACATCTTATCGAAAGCTTGAGTATAAATAGAGCTGAGATGGAAATTACTATAAACGCTAAAAAAACGAAGTACATGCTGATTACAAAAAGGCCACAAAATATACATCACCTATTGACAATAAATGGTAACGTGATAGAACAAGTAGAAAAATATCAGTATTTGGGAACTTTGATCAATGAAACCAATGATCATACTGTAGAAATAAACAGACGAATAGAGATTGCCAGATCAGCATTTATACGAATGAAGCCACTCCTAACGTGCAAAAATCTAAATTTGGAGATCAGACTACGTACCATTCGCTGTTATATATTTTCAATATTATTATATGGAGCTGAGACTTGCACATTAAAAAAATGTAATTTAAAAAGAATCGAGGCCTTCGAACTCTGGTTATACCGCAGAGTATTGAAAATATCATGGACTGATATAATTACAAATAAAGAAGTACTGGAGAGGGTTGGTAAAGAAACAGAACTAATCACCACTATACAAACCAGAAAACTGGAATACCTAGGCCACGTGATGAGGGGACCAAAATATGAAATTTTGAGACTGATAATACAGGGAAAGATTCAAGGAAGAAGATCTGTTGGCCGAAGGCAGAACTCATGGTTAAAGAATCTACGTGATTGGTACCAATGCAGATCGATTGATTTGTTTAGAGCAGCAAGTTCTAAAATAAAAATAGCCATTATGATTGCCAACCTCCGTAGGGAGACGGCACTCTAAGAAGAAGGCTCAGGTTTCTTATAGTTAAGCTAAGTTTTCAAAAAACAACCTAATTGTGCGCACGTGTTCTTTGATTGAAATTGAATTGATTTGTTATAGCTCTGTTGCAATATTTGTTATTATTTTTATTTATTGTTTGATTCTTTTAAAGTATGATTAATTGATTGATTATTTCCCTATAATTTTTAGGCGTTACCATGTACAAATAGTAATGTTCACATGATCCATCATGGAAAAACTGATCGCTGATATTTATCATTCAACAAGATAAGAGCATACAAATATAAATGTACTTACATTCACTAATTCTCCGATGCCATCTGGCCAATACTTAGCGTCATCATAAGGATCGTTAGGAAAAGATGATACAGGTGCTCGATCGCCATGTCTATAACACTAAAAAAGAAAAATTACATACTAAATTGAGCAAACAATAAAGAACATTTGACAAACAATAAGGACTCACGCCAAAAACTTCTTGGAAAACGCTGCAGATTTTGTTTAAATGACTGGTTTGGTCTCTTCAATTTTAGAGTTATATTTAAAGGAAACTGTCTAACATGAAAGGCATTGAGTACAGATAAAAAACAAACAAAACTGTTTAGTAATACGATACTTTTATTAAACACACTGAGAAACGAATAATGTATTCTAGTTCCCGAGAAACTGTTAATGAGTGTTGATTTGCCTTTCCAGATGTCGAAAAAATTCATAATCTCATAAGAAGTATATGATAAGGGTAAATAGAATGATGACAATGATATTTTTTAAGAAGGCACTAAAAACTAAAATATTAAAAAATAATTTCACGCACACTAAAAATTGAGAGGACAGAATACCGAACGAACTCCTAAAGTACGGTGGATCAGATCTGACCAGATAACTATTAAAACTAATTCAAAAAATAATAGAACAAAACAGAATTCCTCAAGAATGGAGATCAATGCCTCTCTTTAAAAAGGGAGACAAATCGGTCCCTGAAAATAACAGAGGAATTAATTTATTAAACGCTACACTAAAATTAACAACCAAAGTGATAACAAATAAATTGAATGAAATTATAACACGTAGGTTCGCCAAATAAAGCCCGGTTCCTAATAAAGCCCACTCGCCCATATTCCTCAGGATGGACAAATAATGGCAGTATGCTGCAATGTACAGATGCAGTAGAGCCATCTAGGTGCAAATTGGTACACTAAGTTGAGCAGCGACGCGAACTGTCGCTTTTATATGATCATTCGTTTACAGTGGTCAATATGTAAACATCCAATCTAATATTGAGGTTAGTATGCTTTTGTAATTTAATACGATTATGAGTGCGATTTTTTTTATTTTGCATGACATTTGTGTACTTATTAGTTGTACTTTCATAGTACCTGAATTACCTTATGTTTATTAAAACGTAAATAATGGTAATTTCTAAAAACATTGATCACCTACAGTATTGCTAATAAGGCCCGGGTGGGCCTTATTAAGACTACGGGTGGGCCTTGTTAAGACCACTACAATAACACGTTTTATAAGTTTTTAACTTTGTTTCAGAAAGAATACTAAAAAGCTTACTTATTGCCCGTCGAACACTTAGGAATCATTTGCTTAGTGGAAAAGCGGAAAAGAAACTTGGGCCCCTTCATGTTTAACCCCCCAACAAGAATCTGAGTTGTGTGGAAGAATTTTTAGGCTAGCTGACGTTGGAATGCCTCTGACATCAACAGTGATAAGACGTTCTGTCCATGAATATTGCCAAAGAAATGGCATATCTGCACCTTTTATCGATAAAAACTTAGCTGGTCGAAAATGGCTCAAACTTTTTTTAAATCGACATCCCGAAGTAGTTAAAAGAAAATCTCAATTCATGAATCCAGCTAGAGCCGCCAAATTAAACAGATTCATAGTCAATGACTATTTTGAAAAGCTACGCGAAGTTATGTTGATGCTTGATATCCTGCAAAGCCCTCAACGCATTTTTAATATTGACGAGAAAGGTTGCCGCCTAAACCTTCATAAATCACAACAGGTATATGCTCGTAAAGGTGTCAAACGAGTTCATTTGATTTCGCAAGAGCACGCTGAGAATGTGTCAATCGTCGGTTGTGGAAATGCTGTAGGACAAATAATTCCACCTATGATCTTGTTCAAAGGAAAAAGAAAGAAGAATGAATGGTATGACAATCTTCCTCCTGGAACAGTTATTGAAATGACCGAGAAAGGAAGTATGACTACGCCAGTTTTCATTAAGTGGGTACAACATCATGTGTGCAAGTAATTGCACACATGAACTGCAACCTATGGGCAAGGCGGTATTTAAAGCCTTCGAATCTTACTGGGACGACGAAGTTATCACCTACTGGAAAAATAAACCAGATCGAATGATCAATAAATTTTCGTTTGACACAATTTTCTCAAAAGTATGGCCAAAATCAACTACAGCATCAAATGTTATTTCAGGTTTTCGTGCTACGGGAATATACCCGTATGATCCGAGTGTCATTCCTGACATAGTTTTTTGCCCATCAGAAATAACAGAAAATAAATTAGACTCGGAAGATTCTGCTATTCCATCACCTTCGACTTCCGCAACGAATAATCCTATTGGCAGCTCCACTCCAGACAGAAAAAAAAAATAAAAGCTCTAAAGGAGAAAAATACGCAAGATAGCTCTGAGAGTTCTGACGGTTCTGACAATGAATTTTCAGTACATGACAGCTCAGAAGAAGAAAACGAAATGTCAGTAAGTTTTAACGCAGTGTTAATAACACCAGAATTGGAAACAGGAAAACGCAAAGGTGTAACGAACATATTTTGCCTACCACAGGGGGCATTAATATGGGAGATAGAAAATTGGGGGAAAAAACTATTGGGGTGGAGATAGGGCAAGCAAAATAATCGCTACTGATGCGAACGGCACTCAGGGTTTCGTAGGAGAGCTGGGGTCGTGGATAAGTAAAAGATAAGGGCATTGGAATGGGGGAACTACAAAAAAATGAAATAAAGGGCTCTTGGGATAAACAAAATAAAATAAACAAGAAACACCTCAAGGAATTTAATATAGGGCGCCACTTGAGGTGCCTAATTATGCCTATTACAACCACTAGTTGTAACTAGGGAAATAATTAGAAAACAAAATCAAAACATAAAAAACATATCTTTTTCAAATAAACTCAAAAAGGGTTACTCAAAAAAAAATAAACAAAAAGTTAAGACAACAAACTTTTACCTTTAATTATGTGTACCACAAACAGTTACAAAACAAATGATAATTACAAAAAACAAAATTGAAATCATATAGATCTTTCAATGCAGTTTAGATTAAGGTCAACTTAAAAAAAAACAAAACAAATTCAAAACTTATGGTTAGTTATGTGTATAAGAATAATTATTATGACAGCCAAATCCTAATTTTTATAATTTTACTTATTACAAATTTTTCAACTTGTCATGAAAGCAATTATTAATGATAAATGTCTATTTTTCACTTTAAAAAAAATTTAACAAAAAAAAGTACCTGACTTCACTAAATATTAGTTTTGGGGCTGGAACTGGATTTCTAAACACTGCAAAATAACACAAGCGTCTCCAAGCTTCAGAATGGTCTGGAATGACCAGGGACAAACAAATAGACGAAGGAAGTTGAAGTTCGGCTGGATCATCGGGCTTCGGGTCAAAAAAAAATTGCAAACTTCTAAGCTTGGCTTTTCAAAACTTCATTGAAAATACGATGGCCTCTTATATCGTTGTAACACCTTACAAATCTTCCATTTAGGACATAATACAACACATATAACTTTCCACAAACAGGATCTGTCGGCTTTCTGAAGATTACACGCCGAGCTCTTAACTGCTACCACACTACACATTTTCCCATGACAAAAGACAAAAAAAAAACGAAAAAACATTACGAATTTGAAGAAAAATTCGGACTCCAATAAAACTACAAACGCTCTTGACAGCGGTTTCACCGAGAGTGACGAAATTAAAAATTTGTTCGCTTAACTTGAAAATCAACGAACTGCTGAAATAGCAAAACCAACGAACGACGTAGATATCCTTTGAGACGCATTAACTTGAAAAGAAATTGCCGAAGTAAAATAATAAACAACTCTAAAATGGTTTATTTCAACTTGGCCGACCTAAGAAAGAAATGAAAAGATATTTGGGTTTAAATACGTACGAAATATTTTTAGATCTATCAAAAATATATAAGGTGATTTTAATATTTCGTATACGAGGGGACTTCAATATACTTCAAAGAATCAATGAAATTGAAAATGCTACAATACCCCCACGTAAGAGCGAAAACTGGACTAACAGGAAAAGTTTTCGTTTAGGGCAAACAACAATCAGGTTGAAACAACAGTAGCATTTTCTAACTACTGCAACAATACATAATGACTTCAATAACTCAAACAGAATAAAAAACAACAAACAAAAATCATAACCAAAACTACACATCATAACTGTTTATGGTACTAACACAATAACATACAAAATAAAACTGGATGCTCGATTTGACGAATCGGCACCAGTTACAGTTCGTTGGCTCTTAAGCACAACGACACAATGGCAGATTTCTACTAAAATGGCTCTAGCCTAACCAAAACGTGGAACAGACCAGTGTTGAAGTTTCTGGGAGCGAAAAGAAGGTGCTTCCAGCTCAACAAAGGCGGGTGGCCAACAACACAGCTTGGACAAGCTTCGCTATGGTTATCCACATAATAGATAACCAAAACAAATATCAAACAATAACAAACTCGACTATAACAGTCAAGCAATGAATTTTCAACCACTGGTTGAAAATTAAACACAAACAGAAGAAAACAGGATGGCCAATAGTTCCATAGAAATATCCTCTGGGATCGACACAGCGAAAAATTTCCAAGTTAGGAAACTCCCTAAAGGACCAAAGAAGAAAATAAGTCCAAAATGCTAATACACAATCTTGGAAAAGAAAAAAGAACAGGGCACATGGCATACAAGCCATAATCAATACACAATCAGTTCAGTCTCAAACTAAATACTTCCAAAAGAAACAAAAAAAAAATCGTAACAGTCTTCCAAAGAAAACAAAAAAGTTACGACAACACTCCAAAAGAAACAAAAACATCATTACAGATCTCCAAGGGAACATAAGAAACACTATAATCTTCCAAAAGGACAAAAAAATCATTACAGTCCGTCATCGACAATAAAACTTCCAACTGGGTACACAAATCTCAAAAGCAGGGCAAGAAGGGTAAAGAAGAAGAAAATATATATATACACAAGGCAAAAACTAATGCTTATCTTCCTTAAAAGCTCAACAGGTCACCTGGCGGACGAATCCAAAACTCATCGACCTAGCCGTTCCTCTTATGACAACTAATAAGGTCAAAGACACAGTTTGGGAAGGGAATAAA